TCACGGGGCAGCAACTGACTGACGAGGGGCGAGGCCCCATGCTCGAAGCGGAAGGGAGCAGAAACGAGAACTTGCTGTCACGTCGAAGGAGAAGAAGAACAAATATTAATAATCATATTAATAAAAGTACTAAGAAGAAGAAAAAGAAAAGCAGCGGCACAAACGTAAGCTTTTGGAGTTCCGCGCGGATCTCCTGGGTCTGCCCCTGGCCCCTCCTGGCGGCGCTTCCAGCGCCGCTTCGGGCGCGCCCCGCGCGCCAGGGCGGGGAGGTCAGGCGCGGATCGAAGAAATCCGCGCGGAGCTCCGAAAGCTTGCAGTCGCAGCGATGTAGAAGATCGAGGTCGGTGCTCATGCTTATTCAAGGGAAGAAAAGCCACTCGGACCCCATCTGCGTATCTTAAGCGGCCATCTAGGGCGTCTACTGAACAGCCCTGCCCTGTTCGATTCTTTCCCTGGGGTGCGTTTACGAAACGGCACCGCTCGTCGGGGTGCCTCCAATGGGGGTGAGATTTCTGCCATTTATTTCTGCTGTGCTTTCAAACACACATCCGTACACACCTCATTCCACTGGTGTAATTTTTGTTCTGGCTGGTACAGGTGATGGTTATTGTGCGATGTGGGGATGCGTTTCGAAATGCGAGACCGGTGTGAGATGTAAGTGTGTGCTTTTTTCCTCCAGTGGCGGGCACTGCTCTGGATTTGCTCGCCATCGGCGGGCGCGTTGCTGGAGGCCGCCCGGCGCTCGAGGTGGAGAGAAAGAAAAAACACCGGCAAAGTCGGGCGCACGTTTGGGTCCGGGGTTGGACGATCCACGAACATCGACACGAAAACGAGAAAAAAGACAAGGCCAGCGACCGAATAAGAAGACAATAGAAATGAGAGTCTTACGCACAAAGAAAACCGATAGAACCCATAGAGCCGTAGAATACCCCCACTCACGCCCCATAAAGACATGGAAGCAACCTGCTTATCATAGCACCAGCTTGAAACCAGCGGGGTCTCACAGGGTTCCGCAGAAGCACCCTGCTTGCCTCCAGGGTGCCCCTGGGCGTCTCTTGGGTTTGGGTGGATTTTTCGGTGGAAGGCGCGACGCTCCCACACTAAAAAATCAATGGACGTCCTGGGGTCCCAGGGTTATGTGGGGCGTGTCCCTCCTCTACAGGAGGAATGTTCAACAGTAGTCCAAACATAGTCTGGGGACGCGTTTTTTTGGGTGTTATTGTTTGATTATTTATTTTGGAGACTTTTTGGCTATTTTTATTTTTTGCCCAAAGTCCGCCTGTAAGGGGACATGCCCGACCTAATCCCAGGGTTGGGTTTCTTGTGGAAGGTCTCTTGTGGACTGGCCTCCACTGCATCTGCAGAAGGCAGCAGGGCGGTCGGCCCGGCCCCAGCGCACGGTGTGCCTGGGGAGGGCCACCGGGGGGCGCAGCGAGGATCGTGGCACACGCCAGCTGCGCAAGCGGAGGACGATGCGCAGACGGAAGGGGAAGTGCAGGGAGAGAAAGAGCGTGAGGAAGTGGACGACGACGACGACGACGACGACGACGACGACGACCAGGAGGAGGAGGAGGAGGAGGAGGAGGAGGAGGAGGAGGAGGAGGAGGAAGAGGAGGAGGAAGAGGAAGAAGAAGGCGAGTGGGATCTCCACCACCCTCGCCACGCCCCACCTCGTCGCCCACGAAGTGAGGAAAGGATGCGCAGAGGGATAGATAGAGGGGAGGGCCAGAGTGGTGGCTGGAGTGAGCGCCTCCTCGCATACAGCGCACGGCATCCGTACACCACGCGCCTCGTCCTCGTCTTCCTCGTCCATCGTCGTCACCTTCGTTCTCCCCCTCTTCCCTGACTTCTGGCCGCGAGATCTTCCCCCCCACACCTTGGCGAGGGCATCTGCCAGCCCAGGGAGGACGAGGACGACGACGAGGACGAGGACGAGGACAAGGAGGTGGACAAGTACGAGAAGGGGGGGGGGACGAGGACGTGGGCAGGGGGGGGGAGTGGAAGAGGCAGAAGGCGCCCCGCTCCTTCCGCCCCTCGCTCGACCCCCGACCAGGACGTGGAGGTGGAGGAGGCTGACGACGCCGACGCCGCCGCCGCCGACGACGACCACGGCCGGCGACGGCCACACCGACGGCGACGACGACGACGACGACGCCGACGCCGCCGACGACGACGCCGATGGCGACGACGACGACGCCGTCGCCGACGCCGACGCCGACGAGGGCGCCGACGCCGTTGCCGACGAGGGCGCCGACGAGGGCGAGGGCGAGGGCGAGGCGCGCGCGCGTGCGCGCAGGCCCTCGCTCGTCTGCGCCGTGGGGTCCGTGGCCCGCGCCTGGCGCCACCGGGCGGCGCGCCCCGCTCGATCGACCCGCCGCCGCGCGGCATCTGCTGGGCTCCCGCGCCGACGCCGACGACGACGACGACGACGACGACGACGACGACGACGACGACGACGACGACGACGACGACGACGACGACGACGACGACGACGACGACGACGACGACCGACGCCGACGCCGACGACGACGACGACGACGACGACGACGACGACGACGACCGAAGCCGACGACGACGACGACGCCGCCGACGCTGACGCCGACGCCGCCGCCGACGACGACGACGACGACCACGGCCGGCGACGCCGCCGACGACGACGACGCCGCCGCCGACGACGACGACGCCGACGACGACGGGTCCCTACCCTGGGCGGTTACGCAAGCGGGGCGGGAACAGGCTGCTCCCTTCGGCTTTCGAGGGGCCCGTTTCCCAGCTGGGGTGGTGGGATGTGGGATGGTGGGCATGAGATACCATGGCCCTGTGGGGACGGGGATAGGTTGCACGAGAGTGAGTTGGGGTGGTAGGATGGTGGGCATGTGATACTATGGCTCGGTGGGGATGGGGATCGGTTGCACGATATTGAGTGCAGCACTCCCGCGCGCTCGGGCTTGCCCTGACCTCCGCTCTACTTGGGCGATCCCGCAAGCAGAGGGCGGAAAGGTCCGCCCTACTCTTCAAGCTTCTTTGCTCTCGATGTCCGGCCTACTCTGCCGTCGTTGGTTCCGCAATCCTGCTTCTGTGGGGCGGCAACGTCCGCAATTCGAAGAAGAAAGAACGCCAGAAAAATAAACTTTTGGCGCTCTGCGCGGATTTCTTGGATCCGCGCTGGGGCCCCCCGGCGGCGCCTCCGGCGGCGTCCTGCAAATGTGTGGGCGTGTTTGTTCGAAATGACTCGCTCTCCCCCGCGTCGACCACCCTGAACTTCGAAATTTTGGGCAGGGGGTTGGACCCGCTGCAACACGCATTAGAGATGGGCTTTTTTTCGAGAACGACGGCATCGATCGGAGAAGGAACAGGTATCCATGCCACTACCCTTCTCCCGTTTGTCCGCTTTTTGGGCCTCCCATGGGAGGCGGCCCCCGTCGCCACCGCTGGCTTCGCCTCGAGATCTTGGTCAGAACGCACCCCGGGAGAAGTCTTGGGAGTAGCGGCAAGTCGGGCACGTCCCTCTACAGGGGGAACGTGCAAAAATAGCAACAAGATAGTCAGGGGACGATTTTGGGTGAATTTTTGGACCACTTTTGAATTTTTGTTTGGGCTATGAGAAGCTGTCCTCCAAAACCCTTAGGGGAACATGCCCGACTTAAGACTCTAGCGGTGGAGGTAACGTCCAGTTTCCCCGATCAAGACTCGAGGGGGTGGTCCACCTGTGCGCCAGGGGCGCGGCGGAGCGGCGGACGCGCACGCCTGGCACGCACCGGCCGCAAGGCTCAAGTCGTGCATGTCCCTCTACAGGAGGAATATTCAACAATAGTCCAAAAATAGTCTGGTGACGACTTTTTTACGATTTCTGACAATTCCGGAATCTATTTTGTGGACTGTTTTCCTTGTTCCCCCAAAGTAGAGACGTCCTGAAAAATTTGGTGGTCCAGGCCGTTTCGCCTGAGACATCCTCGCAACTCTAGTTTCTGAGTTGTCCAGGATTGGGCGTTTCGCGTGAGACATCCTCCAAACTCTGAGTTACCAGATGCCGCGCAAGAGGTGGTCCGGCCTTTTTCGCCAGAGACATCCTCGAAATTCTGAGTTCCCAGATGCCGCGCGAGAGGTGGTCCGGCCCGTTTCGCCTGAGACATCCTCCAAACTCTGAGCTCCCAGATGCCGCGCGAGAGGTGGTCCGGCCCGTATCGCCTGAGGCATCCTCCAAATTCTGAGCTCTGAGATGCCGTGCGCGAGGTGGTCCGGCGCGTTTCGCCTGAGACATCCTCGCAACTCTGAGTTCTGAGATGCCGCGCAAGAGGTGGTCCAGTTCATTTCGCTTGAGACATCCTCGAAACTCTGGGCTCCGAGATGCCGCGCAAGAGGAGGTGCGGCAAGTTTCGCCTCAGACATCCTCCAAACTCTGAGCCCCGATATGCCGTAGCGAGGTGGTCCGGCCCGTTTTGCCTGAGACATCCTCGCAACTCTGCGCTCTCTGATGCCGCGCGAGAGGTGGTCCGGCCCGTTTCGCTTGAGACATCCTCGCATTTTTGCATTCCGAGATGCCGCGCGAGAGGTGGTCCGGCCCGTTTCGCTTGAGACATGCTCCAAACTCTGAGCCCCGAGATGCCGCTCAAGAGGTGGTCCAGCCCGTTTCACTTGAGACATCCTCGCATTTCCGAGATGCCGCGCGAGAGGTGGTCCGGCCCGTTTCGTCTGAGACGTCCTCGAAATTCTTAGCTCTGAGATGCCGCGCGCGAGGTTGTCTGGGCCGTTTCGCCTGAGACATCCTCGAAACTCCGTTCTCTGAGCTGCGGCGCAAGAGGTGGTCCAGCCCATTTCGCCTGAGACATCCTCGCAACTCTGACCTTGGAGATGCCGCGCGCGACGTGGTCCAGCCCGTTTTGCCTGAGACATCCTCGCAACTCTGAGCTCTGAGATGCCTTGCGCGAGGTGGTCCGGCCCGTCTCGCCTGAGACATCCTCGCAACTCTGAGCTCTGAGATGCCGTGCGCAAGGTAGTCCAGCCCGTTTCGCACAAGACATTCTCGCAACTCTGAGCTCCCAGATGCCGCGCCAGAGGTGGTCCAGCCTGGGGGCCCAGAAGACCACATGTTACATATCCCCCCTGGGACCCTGGGAGCCCCGAGAGCTTCAGGAGGCCGCAGGACGCCCAGGACAGGCCCCAGGGGTCCCTAATTAGGAGATTCCCAGGAGGCTCCCAGGAACCTCCCGGGAGGCCCCCCCTGTCAGAACGTGTCAAGTTAATACACATCCGGTGCCGATTCGTTGATATTTCTTGCTTTTGTGGCCCCCCATTTTGGGGGCCCAGACGGCCACATGTTAGATATCCACCCCTGGGAGCCCCAAGAGGCTTCAGGAAACCCCAGGTGGGGTCCAGGAGACCACCAGGAGGTCCCCTGGAGGCCCCAGGAGGCCCCAGGAGACCCCCGCAACTCGGAGCTCTGAGACGCCGCGCTCGAGGTGGTCTGGCCCGTTTCGCCTGAGACTTCCTCGCAGCACGTTTCGCCCGAGACATCGTCGCAACTCTGGGGTCCGAGATGCCGCGCGCGAAGTGCGGCGGTCTTCAACGAGGCCTCGGATCACACGTTCCATCCAGGGCAACCGGAGCGACAAGGGGGAAACCATCACGACATGCCCCCCCCGCTTCCGCGCCTTCCCCCGCTTCCTCTTACAGTTGCTTCCGAGTTCACAGCATGGCGGTGGAGCCTCTGACAGTGCCGACCCGACAGCTTACTCGTCGACCAGGTGCGAGAGAGTACGACACCCTCTAGCGTTAGCTTCCTGACAGTCATGCGTCACACAAGTTTTCGTGTAAACATCTCATGTGCAAACATCAGGTTACCATGTTCTTACATGCCATGCCAGCCCGCACTAGACGGGCACGCGATCGACCTTGGAAACCGCAGTGGGTTAAACAACCCGGTTTGGGGATACTGCACTCCGGCTATATTTCCTTTCATTTTTCGTCAAAAATTCGCCTGAAGGGGGACGTGCCCGACCCAAGGCTACAAGGTGCCCTGAACCACATCTCCTTGCTGCATGTGTCGAGCCAGGTCGACCTGGGATGGCCGCGGGGCCCGAGTTGGAGCGAGAACGACGCCTGGTGCGACAAGAGTGCCCAAACGCCCGCATCTCAGGGGAGACTGAGAGGAGGACGTTACCCCCTTCCTCCTCCTCTTCCTCTTCCTCCTCCTCCTACTCCTCCTCCTCCTCCTCCTCCTCCTCCTCCTCCTCCTCCTCCTCCTCCTCCTCCTCCTCCTCTCTCCGAGCCGTGCCACTCGTCCTCAAGGGGCAGCGGTTCTAGGGATAGGCTCAACGCATCGACCCCCGATCGCCCATCCGTCGCCGCGAGGGGCCCCGACAGCCCGCCCCGCCCAGGAACGTGCGGGGGCGCCATCGGGGGCCCGCCGCCGGTAATGTCGGCGACGTATCGCCGATTCAAGATCCATGTTCCCCCCCTGTAGTTGTGGGCTCAACGACTTCTGCCGTCCCTCAACTCACGCTGGAGCGGCCAGGATTTGCTCCAACTTTCCTTGGGGATCTCTGAGGATTTGCCTGGGTGTTACACGATGTCCTTGGATGTGCTTGGATTTATCGGCATCTCCATTGATTTCTCTGGCTTGATCCCCACAAGTCTGAGGTCCGACGTTGCAGAAAAACTGCCATATCGCAGAAAAATCAAGCCTGGACCCCCAGAACCCAATCTTTCTCCGTCATTCTTCGAGTCGGATCGACCTGCGAGGGTCCCAGGGCCCGAAAGCGAGCGACAGCCCCCGCTGCGAAAGAATTGCGACGCCAGGGCCTCGGGGAGACCATTGGCGAACAAAAAGTCGCCGAGCCCTTCGGGACCCTCTGCGCTGGCCAGCTCCCCGGTGGTCGTCGGCTTCTCGCAGCTCGAGCCTACGGCGGCCCTCCGCGACGAGATCCGGGCGAAGCCCCCCCCCCGCACGCCCTCCGGCGGGGCGCAGCCGCCGGAGGGCGCCCCGAGGCCGGGGAGCCGACGGGCACCGAGGGGAGCGGCGTCCTGGAGGCCTCGAGGAGCCTCGAGTAGGGGGCCACGTGCGAACCCGACCCCTGCCCCCCACGGCACGACTTCTGAGGGGGAGGGTGGGGTTCACTTTGCTCGAGAGCTCCCGAGCGAAGTGAACCCCACCCTCCCCCCCAGAAATCGTGGGGGGTAGGGGTAGGCGGCCCCCTACTCGAGCCTCGAACCCATCTCGAAGGCGGCGCTGGAGGCGCCGCCAGGGGGGCCCAGGCGCGGATCCAAGAAGTCCGCGCGGAGCGCCAAAAGTTTATGTCATTGCGTTTTCTCTTCCTCTGGCCTCGAACCCGTCGCTGCATCCCTCGGGGGTACCCGCCCGGTGCTGGCCCACCGGCTTCGGCGCCACACGCTATCCGTTTCCTGGCCCCCCAGCGTCAACGTCCCGGGCCTTTCCTGGCCTCCCGCCCCGCGGAGCGGAGCGACACGCCAAACACGTGCAAACAGGCTGTTGCGGGCCGCCGGGGACGCCGCAACACGCTGTCCAGAAGTTCCCGATCAGTCTGGAGTATCGTTGTCACGCCATGCAGCGCTGCCGCGCATGATTGCGAACACGTTGCCGCATGATTTGCTGCAGGCGTGCATGCATGTATGTTTGTTGCGCCATCTGTAGCCGCCGAGGTTCGAATCTAGAAGTTATCCGGCATGTTCTAGAGCCAGCCAGAGGAACAAATTTGGCGCAATCACAGCTTGAAAGCTCAAAGGTTCGGGCGGGGCTGGGACGAGGACGAATCCGTAGCAAAGCGTTCCAGACCGCTCTCGGAGCATTCCAGCATGCTCTCAGAAGGCCGCGGCGCCCGAGACATCCTCCAGGGCCGCTGGATCTCAGAGATCCTCGACTTACAGTCGACCCGCATGGTAAGGATGGGCAACCTTCCCAAGGGTAACCTTGCATCCTTGCCTCCTCAGTCCATCCCTGGCCACTTTCGTTGGCCGCGCCCCGCCCGAAAAGCTTCGAGACGGCCTTCCAAGGCCCTCGCATCCTTATCGTGCATCCTTTGTGAGACGGGCCGACTGTATCCCCACTCGAGTTTAGCCTCGCCCTGGCCTCGTCTCCCCTTTTGGCTCCCCCCCGGTGGAGCTCTCTGGGCAACGCTGCGTGGCCACCCCCGCGCGGCGCGGCGCCGAGCGCAGGCGGAGGACCCGGCGCTGTGGGCGCAGCTGCTGCCAGGCCGCCAGCCCCCGGGAGGGCAGGAGGGCACGGTGCTCCCTCGGGGGCCCTCGGTCGGCGGCGAGCGAAGGCAGGGGGGGGGGGGGGGGGAGAAGGCGGAGAATGGAGAGGAGGCCCTCTCGGAGGGCGGCGGGACTTCTCGGAAGCCCCCGGCCCCTCCGAGGAGCCGTCCGTGTCTCGGGGGCAGGCTCGGAAGACTTCTCAGAGAAGGCCTTCTTGGGCGTCCGAGCCTTCTGAGAAGGCCTTCTCCGTCTCGCTTCCCCCGGCCCATGGCTCGCCGCCGACCCAGACCGCCCCCTGTGATGGGCCCCCCGGGATCGCCCCAAGAGGGCCCCACAAGAGACCCCCCTGAGAGGGTCCGCAAGAGAAGGCCGAAGGGGACCCCGCGGCGGCCCCAGGCGCGGCCAGGGCGGCCTCAAGAGGCGCCCAGCAGGGGGGCCCGCGGCTGCACGCCCGACGGGGAGGGCCCGCAGGCTGCCTCCGAAGGCCAAGGGGCCTCGAGCCGAGGGAGGGGGGGTGCCGACGGTGCTGCGCCCCCGCCCCGGCACCGCCGTTTGGGCCTCCCGGGGGGCCCCCCGTCGCAACGGTGGGGCTCGCCTCGAAGTTCTATTCGGAGTGCACTCCAGGAGAGGTCCGAGGAGCAGCGGTATCGGTGTCTCCTGGTGTGTGTGTGTGTGTGTGTGTGTGTGTGTGTGTGTGTGTGTGTGTGTGTGTGTGTGTGTGTGTGTGTGTGTGTGTGTGTGTGTGTGTGTGTTCCCAGAGATCAGGAGACCAGAACAGATGCAGACACGAAGAGAAGCGTCGGCTTCCAGGAAAAGATCGACAGATGTGGGAAGTGGCGGGGAAAAGAAACATCCCGAAACTCTGTGAAGATATTTGGGGAATCCTGGGATGTGTGTCTGTCGAGTTGCGTGCCCCTGGGCCGTTTCCAGAAAGGTTCTCCCCCGGGCCTGCGGGCTCCGAGGGGAGCCTCCGGGCCCGAGGCCTCAGCGGTGAGGAGGCTCCACCGGGGGCCCCAGCTGCTTCTGGGAGGCTCGAGTGAAGTCGGGCCTGTCCCTCTACAGGGGGAAGATTCCTTAAGAGTCAAAAAATAGTCGGGGGATTATTTTCATATGGGTTGTTTTTCGAATGTTTTGTGTATGTTAGACTATTGTTGTATTTTTCGTCCAAAATCCGCCTATAGGGGGACACGCCCGACCTAAGGCTCGAGGGGGTCTTAGGGAGGTCCTCTCAGGGAGGATTGAGGGGAGAATCGGGCTCTGCAAAGAAACGTCGCGCTGGGCACACACGCACACTTCAAGGAGTGGGGCGACCCAAATGAGCCCCCCCCGCGCTGAAAAGGCTCACTCCGCCCACCAGAGGATCTCGGCGAGAGTTGCACCGGCAGCAGCAGCAGCAGCGGCACAGCGGGCGGGCGGCTGTCCTTGAAGTTGAGCAGGGCGGGGGGCGCGCGCGAGGAGGAAGGCGTGATGGATAGATGTATGGAGGGAGGGAGGGGAAAGAGACGTAGATTGGAAGGGAGGATGCGATCGGGTGAGATCCCCAAGCCCGAGAATCGGCCCTCTGGGTCCGCCCTCCACTCTGGCATCTCTACCTCCTACCGCTACCGCCGCCGCCGCCGTTGCAGCTACTCATGTGCTTCATCTTCCTGCTGCTGGTGCGGCTTCTACTTATACTTTTTCTTCTACTTATTCTTGTCCTCCTCCTCCTCCTCCTCCTCCTCCTCCTCCTCCTCCTCATCATCATCATCATCATCATCATCATCATACTCCTCCTCGTCCTCCTCCTCGTCCTGCCTCATTACTCCTTCCTCCTCCTCCTCCTCCTCCTCCTCCTCCTTTTGATGAGTCGGCTGCGGTTTCTCCGGGCAGCTCCAACGGGCCGCTTTCCAGGACACGAATCCTGCCACCTCGGAGGAGTGGGCAAGGGCTCTCTCCCCAGCCCGAGGGTCAAGCCGCTGCGGAAGTGCCTGCCCCACTCGCGCCCGGATCCATGGACGGCGGGAGGGGAAGAGGAGGAGCTGCCGGAGGGAGGAGGGAGGAGAGGAGGACCAGAGTACATGAGCGAGAAGGACTCTTCAACGAGGCTGTCATCCTGTCGCTCGAGCAGCAGGCGGAGGACCAGAGTACAGTCAAGCATCTGATCAAGAAACCTCCTCCCAATGGGCCAGCGTTTGTTCGCCAACTTGCCGGAAAGCTGGCCCAGTTTCTTGCGCACGTTCTCCCCTCCAGCGGTGACAGAAGCAGTTGGCCCAGGTTTGTCTTAAGAACTTTCCGAGAAACTGGCTCAGGTTTCTCAAGTGATGAGGTTCTTGATCGTATTGTTGGCTGTACGGAAACACCGTGCAGGCCACTGGTGCTGGTTACGAGCTCCCGTCCCAAGTCGCTTCCTCAAGTGCACAGCCACGTCTTCGGACTATCTGCATGTTACGTTCAGGGCCCTTTGCACGGTGTCGCCGAGAGCGTCCTGGGGATGCCCAGATCGTCCCGACCGGCCGCCGGAGAGCCGAGTTATGACCCGAAAACCACTCGGGGATGCGGTCGGGGATTTTGGCTCGGCGTGTCGCGGCGCCGGTTCTGGCCCAGCACGTTTCTCATTGCGTCGGGCGACGCATCTCCCGGTCCCCGGGCGTCGACGCCCCCGGCCTTCCCCGGGCTCCCGCCCCGCAGAGCGGAGCGACATGCTGTCTGCTTGCAGGGCATGGCGTGTCGCAGAGGCCGCCGCCGCGACACGTACTTAAGCAAAAGATCCTGGCCCTGAGTCGGGCGTGTCCCTCCTACCGGCAGCTACAGGACGAAAGTAGCCAGCAATAGTCAAACAGTAGTCTGGGGACAATTTTTCGAGAATTTTTTGGCTATTGTTGAATATTGTTTTACGTATGTTTGATTTCTCGTCCAAAACCCGCCTGTAGGAGGACATGCCCGGCCTAAAGATAGGGTCGGAGGATCGTGCCGCATCGCCGATGCATCGCCGATGCGGCTCGATGTGGAGCCCGATTTGCTTCACGTCGACGTCGCCGATGCATCGCTCACGTCGACGATGCATCGCCGATGCGGCGCGATCCCCCGACCCCATCTGCTCCGACCACTTCCTATCCCATTTGGGAGGCCTCTGTCCTTGTCCCCCTCCCCCTTGTCCGCAGGTGGGACCCCCCCCCCGGACCCGCCGGGAACCCCAGGGGGCGGCAATTTGGCCTGGCCCTGGGCCCCCCCCCGCCCATGCTCCCTCCCCGTCAGGGAAGGGAGAAAGGGAAGGGAATCGGCTTAACTACCACGTTTCTTGTGGTGTGCGTTCCTCAATTGTCTTGGGACTGGCGACGACGACGACGAAGACGACGACAGCTTGCCTTGTTGTTGCCCACAGCTTTCACTTGCAGCGCTCATGCTGCACGTTTGCGTATATGTGGACTTGGACTCTTGTTTAAGAAATTGATCTGAGTGGAGTTCATTTTCTTAACTCAAAATGTCCTGAATTCTAAGCGTGGCGTGTGAAAAAGCGGCCTACGTAAAAACTGTCAGAGCTCCGCGCGGATTTCTTGGATATGCGCTGGCCCCGGAGAACGCCACGGGCGGCGCCAGAGGCGCCGCTAGGGGTTTGCAGCGCCGATCCAAGAAATCCGCGCTGATCTCCGAACGTTTATGTCCATATCTTACGAAGTGGCCCTCATATTAGTGGAGTGGTGCGGACAATGTTACCGTTCACAGTGCCAAAGAAACACATCAAGAGACGGCCAACTGATTCGCCGACATGCTTTGCTGACGAGGGGGCTCCCCTCCATAATTGCAGCCAGCAAAGATGAGCAAGAAAAATGCTTGCGGCGTAGGGGTGACAGCGCGATTCTGCAGACCAACCATCGAACATCAGCACAGCTGCTTCAAGTTTCTCGCTTGAGGAGCGTACTTTGCGAGGAACGCCGAGGCGAACGCGAGAGTCTGAAAACGGGCCAGGCCCCACGCGTGCAAGTGCGCGAACTTGGAATCACGTCGCCGTCCATCCGTGGGACTGTCGGATTGTGTTGTGCATCTTCGGGGCCACGAGTTAGGAGAAGGCGGGCGCGATTCTGAACGCCACCCGCTGTCCATCCGTGTGATGACTGGTACCATGGTTTGCGTAAACAAAAAAAGCCCATCTCTAGTGCGTGTGGAAGCGGGCCCACCCCCCCAGCCCCAATTTCAAAGCTCGGGGTGGTCGACGCGAGGGAGTGCGAGTTGTTTCGAAAAAAGACGCCCACATTGGCAAATCGCGACCTGCACCCTTAGATGAACATTGAAATTGGGGGCGCGGGGGGCGCTCTTGCACCATCTTCTTGCCGTTGTCGAAAACGCTGGTAGGCTTAATCGCAACGGTACGCAATCGGCTGTGAGGACGTCTCTGGCGGAGCGCGGGGCAGGAGAGGCAGGATGGCCACGGGGAGGACGAGCAGGCGCAGCAGCAGGGAGAAGGAGCAGCGGGGAGGAGGAGCAGCGGCCCGGCGGAGGGCGGGGGGGCCGCATCGCCGCTCTCTCGCCCATCACCGCAGGCAGCGGCGGCGGGGGCCCGAGGAGCATCGGCGCGCCGGCGCGGGCTCGGGCCTCGGAACCTCAGCCACGCGCCGAGGGGGGGGTGGGGGGGCGGGGGGGGCTTCTCAGGAGCACCCTCCCTCCGAGGAGCCAGTCCCTGCCTCCAAGGTGTCGAAGAATCAAGAGGGAGGTTTTTCGCAGCCTTCGGCCTCCAGGGGCCCTCGCCGGGCCCCAGGACCGTCAGAAAACGATCCGGGACGAAAAATCAAGAGGGAGGTTTTTCGCATTTTTCGGCCTCCAGGGGCCCTCGTCGGGCCCCAGGACCGTCAGAAAACGATTCGGGATGACAAACCAGTCCTGGGGAATCGGTCGAGACTTCCGGGGACCCCGCATTAAACATCAAATCGCGGCATCGGATCTCTGGGTCCCTCCAGAGCCGCGGGATCTCGGAGATTCCCCCAGCTCGTCCCGGTCCGATGCTGTCCGGGATGTGGCTTCGTCTTGCGGGGTGTGGAGGGGAGCGGAGTAGCCGCCTGGGGGGCAGGGGGGGGGCGAGGGGGGCCAGAGCAGCCACGGAGGGGAGGGGCGGCAGGAGCAGGAGGAGGCGGCAAGGAGGGCAGAGGGGGGTGCAGAGGCCGAGAGGCGAGGGCCAGAGGAGGGATAGTATTAAGTCGGGCATGTCCCTCTACAGGAGGAATATTCGAAAATAGTTCAAAAATAGTCTGGGGACGATTTTTACAACCATTTTTGAATATGTTTGACTATATTCCATTTTTCTTCCCAAATCCGCCTGTAGGGGGGACATGCCCGACCTAAGGATAGTGTGATGGGCAAATTTTCCACTTTTCCACCACCGCTACCATATGCAGGACGGGGGAGAAGGGAGGATAAGGAGGTCCTCCTCCCCCTCCTCCTTCTCCTCCTTCTCCTACTCCCCCTCTTAGTCCTCCTCCTCCTCCTCCTCCTCCTCCTCCTCCTCCTCATCGTCCTCCTCCTCCTCCTCCTCCTCCTCCTCCTCCTCATCGTCCTCCTCCTCCTCCTCCTCCTCCTCCTCCTCCTCCTCCTCCTCCTCCTCCTCCCTTCTCCTACTTATGGTATTAGTGGTGGAAAATGGGCCCATCATAGTGGGAGTGGGGAGGGGTGGTGGGGCCATGAGAGCCGACGTCGGGGAACACATGCGCAGGGACCGAGAACAGCGCCGTTCAGCGCACGTCTCGTTGTTCCCTTCGCGCTGCTGCGAATCCAAGGTCGCGGCTCGCAGGCTGCGCACGACACGTGGCGGACCATCACGCCTGGTGCCACTGGGAACCCCCTCTTCTGGCGGTCTATACTCTCCGAGCGGGATGGGTCTGGGCAGCGGCTCGAGTGCCATTTCCTGCTTCTCGGGGGAGGGGGCGCGGGACGGGGGCCCCGCGCTGCCCGAGGCGGTGCGCGAAGGGCGCAGGGCGCGTGCAGCGCTCGGACGTTTGCATGTTTTGTTCCCCAGCGAGGGCCATCCAGGAGCACCCTGGGCCACCTGGCAAGAAGCACAAACAAAAGGCAACCAAAAAGGCACGCACGACGTCGACAAACGCACGGGGGAAGGGACGTCCGAGCGAAGGCGAGCCTCCTGAGGGAGGGGCAGCCAGGATCGGCAGCAAGTCATGGAAGCCTTGTGTACCCTTGTCTTTAGAGTTGGAGTAGGGAATCGACTACAGAATTGATTTACCCCAGAAGTGATTTCCTCGCCGAACCAATGAGAAACTGCATATAATGCTCAATAGGTCTACGGAACATTCGACGCATGTTCTGCAGGTTCGACGGAAATCCAACGTTGGGGTAAATCCATTATGTTGTCGATCCCCTACTCGAAGAGTGCACTAGCGTCGTTTAGCGTCTGGTATTCGATGGGATAGTGCCGGTCTAGCGCCGGTGAGCGTCGATTTGGCGTCGATGTGGCGTCGACTGGGCGTCGATTGACGTCGACGAGCGTCGATTCGCAAGAGCCAACAAGGCGGTGTGGAAGGCTCCCGAGCCGGGGCGGCGGCCCCGCGCTGCCCGAGGCGGTGCGCGAGGGGCGCAGGCTGGCGGTGGCCGAGCTGGGCGGGGCGCCCCCGGCCTGCGCCCGGGCGGTGGCGCTGCTGGACCTGCTGGGGGACGCGCTGGCGCTGTGCGAGTCGGCCGCGCGGCTCTTCCTCCGCCCTCCTCCCTCCTCCCTCCTGCTCCCTCCTGCTCCCTCCTCCTCTCTCCTCCTCCTCCTCCTTCCTCCTCCTCCTCCTCCTCCTTCTCCTCCTCCTCCTCCTCCTCCTTCCTCCTCCTCCTCCTCCTCCTCCTGGTCCTCCTCCTCCTCCTGGTCCTCCTCCTTCTCCTCCTCCTCCTCCTCCCTCCTCCTCCTCCTCCTCCCTCCTCCTCCTCCGCCTCTCTCCTCCTCCTCCTCCTCCTCCTCCTCCTCCTCCCTCCTCCCTCCTCCTCCTCCTCCTCCTCCTCCTCCTCCTCCTCGGCTGCTCGTACCCGTCGGTCGTTGGAAATAGCTATAGCTGGATTCCCAGATCCCAATATACTGTCGAGCATCTGATTAAGAAACCTCCTCCCGGAGGGCTGGGCCAGCGTTTCTTGGCCAGCTTGCGGGAAAGCTGGCCCAGTTGCCTGAACGCGCTCGCCCCTCTTGCGTCAGCACGAAAACGTGGCCCAGGCTTGTCTTCAGAAACTTCCGGGGAAGCTGGCCCAGGTTTCTTGAATGATCATATGCTCGGCTGTACTTCCAGCGCCTTCCTACTTCAAAGATCGAGCGGGGGGCGGGCAGAAGGCCAGTCTACTTCCAACGCCTTCCTACGTCATGCTTCTACACACTCCTCCCGACCGATAGGTAATAGTGACCCTTCGCCAGAGTAACCTTTCGTCGTCGTCGTCGTCGCCGCCGCCGTCGTCGTCGTCGTCGTCGTCGCCATCGTTGTCGTCATCGTCGTCGTCGGTGTCGTCGTCGTGTCGTCGTCGTTGGCGGCGTCGTCGTCGTCGTCGGCGGCGTCGTCGTCGTCGTATCGTCATCGGGACGGATCGACATGAGGATGGAGGTGGGCCTTGTCGCGGCGGGGCCCACAGGGGTCCCGCCAGCGCTGGCTGTCGCGCTTGGATGGCTTGCATCTGGCCTCCCCGGCGGCCCCTGAACGCCGCGCACCAAAGGTCACTCTTGCCCAGGCTCGCTCCTGCGTGTAGCCGATTGGAGGGTGTGAGATCAGAGGAGGAAAAGTCACCTGTACCGCTACCCCTGCCTCGTTTTCGCCTTTTGGGGCCTCGAGGGAGGCCTTCGTCGCCACCGGTGGATTCGCCTCGAAATGCTTTTCAGAACGCGCCCCAAGAGAGGTCCGGGGAGTAGCGGCATCGGTGCGTACTTCTGGGCTTCCCCATGGCGACCCCGAGAGCCATGCGTCACAACCTTTGCACACCGGACGGTCTCGCCCAGTTTCAGGCCCCCAAGGCTGTTGCAGATCGGCCCGGCTCGAAAAACGCAGCAGAAAGATGGGATTGAACAGTGGGAGACCGCCCCCCCCACAACTATGGCTGCCGCAGGGGGGGGGCCCCGCGCGCGCGACGACGTCTCGGGCCCAGTCGACGGCCAGCATTCCAGGGCTGCGCGTGCCACGGCCGCGGCACGCAGTTTGAGGCGACGGCGGCGCTGTCCCTCGCATGGTAGCGCCGCTAGCCCAGCCAGGGGCCCCCGCCCCCGTTTCCGTCGCCCCCTTATAACCACGCCGACGGAAAATTTTAGATCGGGAGCGTTTCTTTTGAGGCAACAGGTTCAGTATGATATTGCTTGAGTGCTTCAGCGCATTTGCGGTTAAACAAACTGTTTGGGGCTCTCCCGTGCGAGGCATCCCGCTCCGGAGAAATGGTAATCGACTTCACATTGAGTTTATATGCTTTCGCTTGGTGCCGAAGCTTTGTTTTCCAATGGGCGCTTGCGGGGCGGGTCCCGGGCGAAGGCGGGTTTTTTCTAGCACCGCCCGGGGCCGACGCGCCCTTTGGTTGTGGCCCTGGCGCGAGCGCGCGAATCAACATAATGATATTGGGCATCGACCGCGTGTCAACACAAGGCGGCGCCAAGTTCAAACGCGGGTGGGCACAGCAGCATCGCGCCTTTCGCATGGAATTGCGCGGCGCTGTCGTTGGCCGACTGTTGAGCAGTCTCCGCTTGCAGCTGACACGTCGCTTGACGTTCTAGTTGGTTTAAATTTCTTCATGTGGGGGGCGTGGGGCGCTTTGCATGTGCTGGTGGGGTATAGGGCACTAGTCGTGATTTTCGCGCGTGGCAATTGTGTTCGCGAAATCGGATTTCAGGGGAGGAGGAGGAGGAGGAGGAGGAGGAGGAGGAGGAGGAGGAGGAAAAGGAGGAAGAGGACGAGGAGAAGGAGGAGGAGGCGGAGGAGGAGGAGGACCAGAGGAGGAAAATGTAGCAATACCGCTCAGGGGCAATTGGCCTAATTACCCCTGCTTGGTTTTCGCCTTTTCGGGGCCCTTTTTGGGGCCATCGCCGCCATGGCTGGATTCGCCGCCGAAGTTGCAGTCAGAAAGGTCCCGTGGGGATGTCCAGGGAGTGCCGGTATCGGTACCTCTCTTGCCATCTTTCAGACGTGTGTATTTTTTTGTTTCGGCGAGGCCAGCGCCAGAAAGCTTGAACCATTTTGCGCATTTGACGACCGAACAAAATCGCACGACACCGAAAAATGCACCGAATGATCCATCGCATGGCCGATCTTTCTGGGCTTCGAGGGGGAGAGGGAGGCGACAGCAACGGGATGACGAGGAGGAGGAGGAGGAGGAGGAGGAGGAGGAGGAGGAGGAGGAGGAAGTGGAGGAGGAGGAGGAGGAGGAGGAGGAGGAGGAGGAGGAGGGGGAGGAGGAGGAAGAGGAGGAGGAGGAGGAAAAATAGGAAGAAAAAGATGAGGAAAAAGAGGAGGAGGAGGAGCAGGAGTGTAAACTCAAGAGTCATCAACGATGTTGGAATAAACCATCCCTCCAAGTTCCCTCTTCATAGATTGAAGGAACTGCCGCTTTGTAAGACAACCGCTTGGGTACCTTGAAACAGTCAAAAAGATTGTTCTCACAACTCCAACGCCACAGATCAACCTAGCTGTTGTGTCTTAACAATCGTGGATCGTGCCAGAATGCCATTCCTGGGATTTTTACGCAGCGAATCAACATAGCTGTTGCACCGAATAATCCCGAATCCTTTCAAAACACAGTTTCTGGCACATTGATGATGGGATTCCGTGAAAGTCTTGCAAATGTTTAAGAACGAATGCGCGCCGCGCAAAGGCGAGAACCACATTTCGAAAAAGAACCGCCCTCAATCCGTGAAGTTCTTGCAAATGTTTGAAACGAATGCGCGCCGCGCTAAGGCGAGAACCACATTTTGAAAACGAACCCGCCCTCAATCAGTGAAACTCTTGCAAGTTGAAAAAAAACGAATGTGCGCCGCGCTAAGGCGAGAACCACACTTTGAAAACCACCCGCCCTCAACCCGTGAAGCTCTTGCGAATGTTTAGAACGAATGTGCGCCGCGCTAAGGCGAGAACCACATTTTGAAAACGACCCGCCCTCCACCTGTGAAAATGTTGCCAATTTTTAAGCTTCACAGGAGTCTCAGGCACAGAAGCTGGTGAGGAAGTCTCAGGCGAAACGCCCGGCCCGCCCTAGAAATTGGCCTCGGGGTGCGACAGGGAGAACTATGCATAAGGACAGGGAATGGAGGAGGAGGAGGAGGAGGAGGAGGAGGAGGAGGAGGAGGAGCAGCAGGAGGAGGAGGAGAAGGAGGAAGAGGAGGAGGAGGAGGTGGAGGAGGAGGAGGGGGAGGAGGAGGAGGAGGAGAGGAGGAGGAGGAGGAGGACAATGAGGAGGAGGAGAAGGACAGGAGGAGAAGGAGGAGGAGGAAAGGAAGGGAAGAGGAGGCGAAGAAGGAAGAGGAGCAGGAGGAGGCCGAGGAGGAGGAGGAAGAGGAGGATGATGATGATGAAAAAGAGGATCAGGAGGAGGATGAGGAGAATGAGGATGGGGATGAGGATGAGGATGAGGATGCTGATGATGATGGTGATGATGATGGTGGTGATGGTGATGATGATGAGGAGGAGGATGATGATGGTGATGATGATGGTGATAGTGATGGTGATGCTGCTGGTGTTTCTTTTGTTGTTGAGTAGGAAAGGTAGGAGGAAGAGGAGGAAGAGGAGGAGGAGGAGGCGGAGGAGGACGAGGAGGAGAATAACTCAGCGTGGATTTATCGTACCTGGTCAGCCCAACAATAAGCACGAATGCAATGTCGACGAAAACGATGATGAGGAGGAGGAAGAGAAGGAGGAGGATGAGGAGGAGGAGGAGAGGGCATGATGAGATGTCGAATTTCGTAGCCCGCGGTTTGGAGGCTGTCACGAGGGCTCATCAGAAAGGTTGCATTGGGGTCACGGCGATGCGATTTTCCGCAGATCGGTCAGTATCTGGTTTACTAGTCGTGAGTGTGCACAGCACGTGTCTGTCCAGTAGACAAACCAAAAGTATGCGGATGAGCGGTCTCGAATCGGGCATGGATTCTGAGAGGATGAGTTCTGTGTTGGAGACGGGTGCGCACTACTTTGCGACCGATTGGTTTGCATACCAGAGAAGGCGCTCAACAATTCGCCTATGGGAGGTTAGCTTGCGCCCCGTTCCCAAATAGTCTGGCGAACTTCTGTTCCACGCAGCACTGACATATCCGATATGGGGATGCCATGATGTCCTGATAATTCTCTCCCGAACAAGAAAAATTGAGTTTACAAGGTGTCTGAGGCTAACCAAATGATGAAACGCAAGGCAAGTCTTACGGGAATGATCGCCTACAGATTTGAGAAAGACCATCCGTTGGAGGACTAGCGGAACACATGTAATACGATAAGCGCATGAGCATTGATTATGGTTTGATGGGTTTGCCGTCTCCGTGAGAAGCACGGAGTGCAGAGTTGATTTGTTAGGCTTTGCCTTAGGGGCCCTTCTTCTTCTGGGCAAAGTGCCAGGGGACTATAGCGTGTTCAGGCCGGTTCTCGGGGTTGCCTGGGGCGTTCGGCCTCCTGTGGTGTCATGGCGCCAACATCGCAGAGCGGATTTCGTTCGGAAAACACTAGGATGGGCTCAGATTGTCCTGGAGAATGTGGTTCCGGATATCGAAGTGAATTTCGTGCGGATTTTTGTTGGCCAGGAATGAAAAGTAAAACAACATCCACGCGAAATTCACGTCGTTTTCCCCCCCCCCCCCCGCTTCGGGGTTTTCTCATTGGCAGAAGTCCACGCAAAGATCCGCTGCCGCACGCCTGCAAGGTCGGTGGAGCGAGTGATGTTTGAACAGGTGGTCATGGCGGCCCCGGCTCCTGGTGCACGCCATGCGGTGCAAGCGGCGCGGCCGCCCAGCGCCCGAGGCGCCCACGAGCGGCGACCACCGGGCGAAACCTCGGCACTCCCACCCAGCGCACGAGGCGCCCACAACCGGGCACAGCAAGCAGGCATTGGGCGAGTCCTCGACAGACCAACCCAGCGCACGGGGCGCCCACGAGGCGCCCACGACCGGGCACACCAACGGGGCATCAGGCGAAACCTCGACAGACCAACCCATCACACGGGGCGCCCACGAGGCGCCCACGGCTGGGCTTCAGTCGGGCACCGGGCGGAACGTCGTCTGATTCGTGATATTATTTGAAAGGCAAAGACAGAACCCTAAGTGCAAGCATTTTTAGGGGAAAAACGGGATTCACCCGAATTCCTTCGCACACCAATCAGGACCCCAAGGCAGACACATGGAACCCACGAGACGCACGTGATGGGATCAAGTAGGATCGATGACCTCCCGCACTATTCGACCTTGCGACGTGCATTGCACTGCACTGTTTGACCTTACGACTGCACTATTTGACCTTGCGACGTTGCGACTTGGCCTGGGGATGTATGCAAACGCTGTGCGTTGCACTGCACTGTTCGACCTTGCACTGCATTACGTTACGTTGCGTTGCGCTACGTTCGTATGCCTTCAGCAGAAAAAGCTCCCCTACAGTTCCGAGCTGTAGGCCGCGCCTTGGGCCCCCGAAGGGCCACCTGACCACCTGACTGTCTTGCTGCCCCGGCAGCCTGGCCGACCTGTTCGAGCGGCGGGATCTGGGCAGTTTTCGGCCCTGAGGGGCCCTCGCCAGGCTCCGATAGCGTCAAAAAACGACTCCGGACGAAAAACCGGCCCCAGGGAAGTGGTCTGGACCTTTGGGGAGCTTTTTTTTTCGTCGGCGGCGAGAGGCAGGGGCAGTCCGCACCAGCGTGAGGCTAGTCGGGGCGACCGAAAGGCGAAATGTCCGGCGTGCACGAGGGAGAGGCGAAGGCGAGGGCGGCAAGGCGAAGGGAGGAGGGGGAGGGCGCTCGGACGCGGAGGAGTTCCGCGATGAGCGGGCCGGAGCGGCCAGCCAGGGCAGCGGGGACCGCGGCAGCCAGCGGGACCGAGGAGCACGCATCGAAAAACTCGGAGCAGCCGGGCGTCTGGGCTGGGGGCTCTGCTCGAGGAGATCGGAGCGTCTGGTGTCCTGTGAGCGGGCGCGGGCGCCCGCCGCAGAAGCCGTGAGCCAGAGGGGGGCGAGGAGGAGGAGGAGGAGGAGGAGGTGGAGGAGGAGGAGGAGGAGGAGGAGGCGGAGGAGGAGGAGGAAGAAGAAGGGAGGAGGGGGTGGAGTGAGGAGAGGAGGAGGAGGAGGAGGGGAGGAGGAGGAGGAGGGAGGTAGGAGGAGGAGGGCGGAGGAGGAGGAGGAGGAGGAGGAGGGAGGAGGAGGAGGAGGAGGAGGAGGCGGAGGGGAGGAGGGGAGGGGAGAGAGGGAGAGAGGGACAGAGGGGAGGGAGCGTGGGAGAGAGGAGCGAGGGAGCGAGGGTGAGGAGGGTAGGGAGGGAGGGAGGAGGAGGGAGGGCAGGGGAGGGAGGGAGGGAGGAGGAGGAGGAGGAGGAGGAGGGGGGAGGAAAGGAGAAGAGAAGAAAAGCGGAGAAAAGGGGAGGGGAGGCCGGAGAAGGCGGGATGCCGCGGCAGGAGCCCGAGGAGGAGCCCGACCTGCCGCCTCCCGTCGCTCCCTGACCCTATCCCTCCCTGAAACCTGACCCCCTCCTCCTGACCCCCTCCCGCAGCCGCAAGGCCCCGAGCAGCTCCCCAGGCGAGTGGGTCGCGGTGGAGGTCCACGACCTCCGCGCGCAGGGCTCGAGCCGCAGGCGGCGCTTCGAGAAGGTGACGCGAGGTGCCACGGCGCTGAGGCGCCGCTCCGCTTCCTCGTGTGGGCTCCTTGAGGCCCTGACATCGGGGCGCTGCAATCTCTTCACGCTGGGCGCTTTCGCCCAGCCTCGGGCCACGGTGCCATCACGCAGAGATCGGCCCAGCTCGAAAAGTGCCGCGGGAAATTGGGGTCCGGGGCTCCGCCCGCGATTTCCCGCGGTGTTGCATCCGCCCGAAAAGTGTAAAGACTATACCCAAAAGCCCTGGGGGATGGGCGAGGGTTCTGGTCGGGGGGGGTGGTTTACGGCATTCCCTCTCTGGGGCGTGGTTTTTGAATACTGAACGTGGCCCCGTGAGATGGAATCTGATTGGGTTGGGGAGGCTGTGGTGTACGACATGTCTGGAGGACTGTATATTTCGTCGGATCTCAGGATGGACCCGCGCCCCAGTCGGCCGGCCCTCCCGTCCAGCTCGGCCTGCGCGGCCCCGACCGGCGCGCGGCCTGGGGCGCTGGCCCCGCTGGCGAGGCCGAGAGGACGGCCCCGCCGGCCCCTTGTGACGTGGCATGTTTTCGGGGGTCCGTCCCCCAAACATTGGCGTCTCTTCTCTCTCGCACCCAGCAGCGGGCCCGGTGTGGACTCGAGGCGCATTGGGCCTGGATTCGGCACGGGTTCGGCACGGGTTCGATGCGGATTCGATGCGCACCCAGCCGAGACCTCGCAGCTCTTTGGGTTGCTGCGGAGAGCGCAGTTGTCGTCACTTTCGTGGGCCTCTGGGAGGCACGGCGGAGTCGCGGAGTACGCCCACCCAGCCGAGACCTCGCAGCTACTTGGGGGGGGTGCGAATTGCGAAGCTACCATCACTTTCCTGTGATCCTGGAAGGCACTGCGGAGTCGCGGAGTTCGCAGCTGCGTGGGGAGCTAGGAGCTGCGCAAGTGTCGCCACTTTCGTGTGCTCCCTGGAGGCACGGCGGGGCACCGCGGAGATGAGAGGGAAGCGCAGATCGTGCATGTTTGGCGATGTGTTCTTTCTGTATGAAATGTTCATGCAACTATTCGCCTCGCGTTTAGAAGGCTCTGGGCACGTCTAGGGTAAGTATGTGTGGACTCTCCGGACTTTGTGCTACTCTCCTGGTGGCCGGCGCGATTGGCGGAGACCTCATCGGGAATCTCTTGTTTTCACAATCCTTCTGAGCTGGGTTTTCGTTTTGAACAGAGCGCCGTGGTTTCCACTCCTCTCCTCCCCCGCCTCCTCCTCCTCCTCCTCCTCCTCCTCCTCCTCCTCCGCCTCCTCCTCCTCCTCCTCCTCCTCCTCCTCCTCCTCCTCGCGGCTACCTGGCTGCTGCAATCTGCGAAAGTGTCGCCACTTCTGTGGGCTTCTGGAAGGCAGGGCGGAGGGGGGGGGCCACGCAGACCCAGCCGAGGCCTGAGGGCTGCCTGGGTGGCTGCAAACTGCGCAGTTGTCGCCATTCTCGTGGGCTGCTGGGAGGCACGGTGGAGTGGAGGGCCCCAGGCATGCCCAGCCGAGACCTCGCGGCTCCCTGCGCACGGAGGGGTGCTACATCGCCTTGCGGGTCCTCCCCCGTGTTCGTATGGAGCGGTCCCGGGCACAGTCGCCACATGTCTAGTATGGGCTGGGTAAGCCGCAGGGTAATTTGTTGCACGAGATTCGAATATAGTATTTCACTCTAGGCACAAGAACACATCGCTAGATCTGCACGATCTGCGCTGCCCTCACCTCTGCCGTGCCTCCCAGAAGCCCACGAAGTGGCGAGAGTTGCGAATTTCGCCGCCATCAGCCACCCAGGGAGCACCGAGGTCTCGTCTGGATGCGCGTACACCTCCACTCCGCTGGATGTCCCAGGAAGCCGCGAAAGCGGAGACAGTTGCGCAGTTCGCTGCCACCCAGGGAGCCGCGAGGTCCCGTCTGGATGCGCGTGCACCGCCACTCCGCTGGACCTCCCAGGAGCCCACGAAAGTTGAGACATTTGCTCAGTCCGCAGCCACCCAGGGAGCCGCGAGGTTTCGTGTGGATGCGCGTACACCCTCGCTCCGCTGGACCTCCCAGGACCCCACGGAAGTGGCGACAGTTGCAGTTCACAGCCACCCAGTAGGAAAGGTACGAGCGAGGGAGGAAATGAGGCAGGAGGCAAACGGAGAGAGGAGGAGGGAGGAGGAGGATGAGGGAGGAAGGGGGACCAACAACTCTCGCAAGTCTGGCACGCCGTGCACCCCTGTGGTAAGCCAACAGGGGGCGGCGGATCGAAGACGCATACGGCGAATCATAACCGCCTCTTTTTTATAAGCGCTGGTGTGGCCGAACGCTGTGGCCAAAGCTTGGACATGCTATCGGACTATGTGCTCCCCGAGCTGTACTGGAAACCCTTCGGGGAACAGTTGGGGGAGGATGAGGGAGACCATCAGGAGAGGGAAAACCAGGAGGAGGGGGAGGAGGAACGTTTAGGAACTTTACTTTAACCAATGGCCCACTTGGGCCCCGCACCACGGGCAAGAGGAGCGAACACCACGCAGGCACCGAAGCCTCGTGCGCGGCCTTGACTCCCCGAGCCTTCGCTGCGGGACCGGTGCAGGCTCGGGCTCGGTTCGTGCACGCCGCCAGCGGTCTCCGAGGCCTGCCCGCCGTGTGCGGCGGCAGCGAGGAGGGCCTCCTGGACACGGAGGGAGTTCACGACGGGGGAACGGCCCCTCCGAATGCGACTGATGTTCCCAGTGCCTCCACGGTTCTCACCCCGACAGCCTCCCAGACGGCCCAAGAGGCCTCCAAGAGGTCCTCCAGGAGGGCCCGAAGAGGCCGAAATCATTGCTTTTCCTTAGGTGTTTAAAGGATTTGGGAATTTGCTTCTTCTCGGCATTCCGACTGCTCAAGAGGGCCCAAGAGGCCCCCAAGATCGCCCAAGAGGCCCCCAAGAGGGCCCCATGACTGCCCAAGCGGCCTCCAAGACGGCCCCCAGAGGGCCCCAAGACGGCCCAAGAGGCCTCCAAGACGCCCAAGATGGTCTCGAAGACACGCCCACGTGTTCCCCGAAGGCTTTCCAAACCGATTCGGGGAACACATGGTCCGATAGCTTGGCAGGTCTGGCCTTAACGTTCGGCCACATAGGCGCTTCCAAAAAGGCAGGGAGCGGCGGTGATTCGCCGTGGGCGTCTTCGATCAAGTGGCATTCGGCTCATCCCGCCACCGTGCCTGGGTTGTGGGGGAGCCGGAGACAGCAGTCTTGCACTCAAACAGTCAACCAGAGAATCCAGCAACACATGGCGACAAGCGCCAGCGCTGCAATCAATCAGAGCTTACGCTGCGACACTGACGCGCCAGTCACGAAGAGCCGCGCTAAGCAGCACTACGCCCCAAGCGGCCAGGCCTCGTACGCTCAGCGTACGCTGTTCAGCATTCACTGAAGTCATTGCTGGAAGCGCTGCTGGAGCGCCTTCAGTCTGGAGGGCATTGTGGGCGTCTGGGAGCGCTCTTGGGGCGCCTCTGGGCTCATTCTGGCCGTCTCGGGGGGGGCCTCATCACTACGGCTTCTTCGGCGCTCATTCCAGTACTGACTGGGCGCCCCCCTCCCCCGCCGCCGCCATTTTGAATTGATTTTGGCCGGCGAGCCCGCCGCAATTTTGTTGTCGCCTAGTTGCGGTTGCGGTTGCGCCCGCGGGCGGGTTGAAATGTGTCGTTTGGTTGGGAATTGAAAAGTATTGCCATTCCGCGTCACGCGGCACGCCCTTTGTAATAGAAGTGCAAATCTGTCTTTGGAGAGTAACGTTGCACGGCGTGTTCTTCAAGGGAACTCAACATGTTCTCTTTTGAGGGGATCATATGATTTGCATTCCCGTTTTATGCGGATAGATCTTAATATGTTTGTTGTTTTGCCGTTCCATCCGCTCTTTTCCGAAATCTATTGCGTGTTCATTTTATCATTGTGGTTATTGGAGCTCCGTGTTTGTTGTTATATCCGTTGTAGTTTTACTCAATTGGTTGCGAAATGCAGCCCGCCAGAATACTTCCAAAGTGGTTGCAAGACGATTCGCCGCCAAGTTTTTACGGGGCGTTCCAACTGATGCGTATTCGTCGTTTTGCCTCGCCGCCGTTTTATTCGATACGTCGGTTACTGTTTCAGGTTTTTGTTATCCGCCGCCCGCTTCTTTTCTGATATAGAGTATTTTTTAATGCTTCCGGTGTGATGGGGCCTTTTCAGACCCTCGGTGTTCTCGCTGGCCTTCCTGGGAACGTCGCGCGGTCAGCCTCAGGAGCCATGCGAGTAGCCTTGGGTCGGGCATGTCCCCCTACAGGCGGATTTTGGGCGAAAATTGAACGATAGCCAAAAACATGCTCCAAGATAGTCAAAAATAGTCAAAAAATCGTCCCCTTATTATTCTTCGACCATGTTTGAATCTTCCTTCTGTAGAGGGACACGCCCGACTTAAGAGTAGCCCCACGAGTCACGCGGAACGCCCCAAGAAATCCGACAATGCGGGGCCTGGGCCCGCCAAAGAGCAGATGGAACATGTATTTCAGGAGCGACAAATCGGCACAATGACAAGTAACGTTGATCATGACGGGTATGATAAAACCTTGGAAATGGAAGGGAGGAGGAACAGCCAAGAAATACTTGAGGTCTGGAATGTGTGTCGATTTGCGTGTGTCCCCCTAGGTTCCCTTAACAATGCAGAGAAGTTGACGAGACCTGAGGACACTGCACTGAGTGCATCTCGGCGCGGTGGCGGATCAGGGGGCCGAGTGCCCTTCCACCGGGTCAAGATCAAATTCCAGCCAGGTTGCACACGCATGTTCGGAGTGACGCAGCGGCTTCGACTTGTTCCCGGTCATGGTCCCTCTGGCATCGTAGCGCTTGGGGCTCACCACGCCCTCCTTTGAGGAAGATGTTGCGTACCCCTTCCGAGTGGCACGGGGAACGCTACCAACCAGGCGCACGAAGAGCATACATCCTACACCATTCCCTCCGCGTCGTTCCTACGCCGCTCTGACTTCCACCATACTCGCCACTGCTGAGAGTGATCAAGGGTCTCGCACCAAGCCCAGCGGACCAGTGGAACATGAGCAACGCAGGGCCACTCGTAACGACGAGTGGGCACCTGGGCCCGATTTAGATGAAGATGGAGAGGACCTGCACCAACTCCGAAGAGCAAGCCTGCACGCGGCGAGCGCGACTGCGCCGATGCTGTGAACGCCATCTGGTAGACGGACGTGAAAATCGGGGAAACCAAGACATCGGAGGACATGGGACATGGAACGTCTGGCCGAAGCAGAGGATACGGTCATGGTTGGTCGGCCTACGACTTTCATCGGACAAAGTGTGGCTTGGCTGCTTGAGTAGCACTGCGGAACAATAGCATGAGTTTGACGTTGCATGAAAACAGGGGATACGTCAATGTGACCATGCACGTCACTGGGTCCCGCACGTCGCGAAACCAGCTGGTTGTTCCTGCAACCCGCTCAACGCAGCGGCAACGAGTCTTGAAGCTACTGCCGACCTTCCTGGGCCAAGGACGCGACGCGGCGATAGAGCGGGGCGTTCGGCCGCTCGCCCTACGGATCCCCGAGCGGAAGCCGCCGGTGCACAGTGACACGGAAGACGGGCGCACTTGTTGCGGCGGGAGCACGGGAAGGCGAGAAGTCGAGTACGAGTGTGCACACATGGCGCATGCCGTGGGCAGTGCGCCTCCCTGTCGTGGGATGGTGCAGACGGCGGGGAGCTTGCGCAGGAGAGGCTGGGGCGGTGAGCCCCGTTGGAAAAGTCCACCGGGCCTCCCAATGAGCATCAATCATAGAGAACAAAGAGCACGTAATCTTGATGAGACAATGAAGGTGAGTCTCCGTCTTCACACTTGGGACAATCAATTTGCGCAGCTTGGTCTGATGCATCTGCAGACAAGGCATCCTAGCCCGAATGTATCCGGCCCTCCTAACCTAGGTCCCCTCCCAAAGGGTTAGGGCTACTTTTATTGCTTAGCCAGCATCCGCACTCCATGCGACGATCCTGGGATGCCCATGAGCAGGCGGGGGGCCTCACGACGAGCGCACCGCACAGGCCCCAAGCAAGCCCCCCCCCCCTCTTCCTCCTCCTCCTCCTCCTCCTCCTCCTCCACTCCTCTCCTCCTCCTCCTCCTCCTCCTCCTCCTCCTCCTCCTGTCCTCCTCCGCATCCCCTTTCTGCCTCCTCCTCCTCCTCTTGCCCTCCTGCCTCCTTTGTTTCCTCGTTTTCTCGTATCTTTCCTACGCGCTCTTTCCTTCCTCCGCCTCCTTCCTCCTCCTCCTCCTCCCTCCCTCCCCTCCGCCTCCTCCTCCTCCTCCCCCTCCTCTCCTTCCTCTCCTCCTCCTCCTCCTCCCTCCACCACCCCTCCTCCTTCTCTTCTTCCTGCTCCTCCTCTCCTCCTCCTCCTCCTCCTCCTCCTCCTCCTCCTCCTCTCCTCCCCTCCTCCCCTCTCCCCCTACTCCCCCTCCTCCCCCTCCTCCTCCTCTCTCCTCCTCTCCTCCTCCTCCTCCTCCTCCTCCTCCTCCTCCTCCTCCTCCTCCTCCTCCTCCCACTCCTCCCCCCATTCTCCTCCTCCTCCTCCGCCTCCTCCTCCTCCTCCTCTTCGTCCTCCTCCTCCTCCTCCATCCTCCCCTCCTCCGCCTCCTCCTCCTCCTCCTCCTCCTCCTCCCCCTCCTCCTCCTCCTCCTTCTCCCTCCTCCTTCCTCCTCCTCCTCCTTCCTCCTCCTCCCCTCCTCCTCCTCTCCTCCTCCTCCTCCTCCTCCTCCTCCTCCTCCTCCTCCTCCGGCTCTCCTCCACACCCGTCCTCCGCCTCCTCCTCCTCCTCCTCCTCCTCCTCCTCCTCCTCCTCCTCCTCCTCCTCCTCCTCCTCCTCCTTCGTTAGCAAGTCATGGGAGCCTTGTGTGCCCTCGCAATTCCGTCTTTAGCGTCGACTCGCGTCGACTAGCGTTTGGTAGTCGATGAGACAGCGCCGACGTAGCGTCGGCTAGCGTCGATGGGCGTCGTCTTTGCGTCGAACTAGCGTCGATCTAGCGTCGATTATCGTCGATTCGCAAGAGCCGACAAGCTGGTATGGAAGGCTCCCATGAGCTGCCAGCGACACTCCCCCCCCCAACAGAAATAAGCAACACAACAGCAAAGAAGCAACACCGATCTCTTGAGCCGAAAAATCAGCAGCACACAAGCAACAACACACAGCATCAACAACACCAACAACAACAGCAACAACAGCACCACCAACAATAACAACCAACACCACCAACAACAACAGCAACAACAACAGCTACAACTACAACTAAAACTACAACTGCAATTACAATTACAAGTATAACAGCAACAACAGCAACAACAACAAACTAACAAGACGAGCTGCAGCTGCTGCCGCCCGCTCCCCGCCCTGTCCTCGGAGCGGCCGCGGCTCGTCCCCGCGACCCCCACCCCCCCCTGGGGAGCCCCCCTTGCACGGTTTCCCCCGGGGTCGTAGGCGACCCGAGGAGGAGGAGAGGAGGAGGAGGAGGAGGAGGGGCGAGAGGAGGCTGAGGCAGGAGGAGGAGGAGGAGGAGGACCAGGAGGACCAGGAGGAGAGGACCAGGAGGAGGAGGAGGAGGAGGATGAGGAAGAGAGGGGGAGAGAGAAGAGGGAGGAGTAGGGGGAGGAGGAGGAGGAGGTGGATGAGGAGGAGGAGGAGGAGGAGGGAGGGAGGGAGGGAGGAGGGAGGAGGACGGCTCGCCTAACCCCTTCGGAAAACCCTCCAGCCCCCCTCCCCTAGAGGAGCTTCGGCGCCGTGCTTTTCTCTTCTGCCGCAGGGCGTGGGGCCCCCTGAGGTCCTTGGGCAAACCCTCCCCAGTCGTCGACCAGGGGATCGATAACAGATTGCTTTACCCCGAAGTTGATGCTAACCTTTTCGTCTTCACACTTCTCCCACTCCCACGCCCCCTCCACTCCTCCCCCCCCCCATCCCTCCTTCCCCCCCCCCAGCTCTTTCCCCCCCCCCTCGACCAGGGGATCGACAACAGAGTTGATTTACCCCAAATTTGATGGTTCCTGTCGGGCCTACGAACATGGCGCAGGATTTCTGGGAGCGTTATTCACACGTTTCGTAGGTTGGGCCCATGGACCCCAGCCCCAGTTGTTCCTGGGACCTCTGGAGGTGTCTGGAAATGTGTGGATTTAACGCTGTCGCGGTCCCTTCCAGGCCGCCCTCTCCTCCTCCTCCTCCTCCTCCTCCTCCTCCTCCTCCTCCTCCTCCTCCTCTGCACTCCTCCCCCTCTGCATCTTCACTTAGTACGTAGTGATCCGATGCTAACATTCTCGTTTTCACACTCCTCCCACTCCACCCCCTCCACTCCTCCCCCCCTCCTCCACTCCCTTCCCCCCCCCCGCTATCCCCCCCCCTCAACCAGGGGATCGACTACATAACTGATGTACCCCACAATTGACGTTTCCCGTCGGGTCTACGACAACTGCGCAGGATTGTATGGGGACGTTCTTCGCATGTTTCGTAGATCTGGCGACCGAATCAATTCTGGGGTCGACCAATTCTGCAATCGATCCCCTACTCGGAGTCGGGAGCCCTGAGGCAGGGGCCAAGGCAGGCGGGGCTCAGCCCGAGCGCCAGCTCTTGCGGGGATCAGGGGTGCCGTGACCCGGGCTTGCGCGCAGGACCCTCCACAGCCTGACTGCCCCAGGTTTGCAGCGACCCGGGTCCGCAGAAGGCCGACCCAGGATCGTGCTTCCCTCCCGGGTCATTTTTTGACGGTCTCGGGGCCCAGCGAGGGCCCCAGGAAGCCGAACGTGGGCAAACACAGTCCGTCGTTGTTTTTCACGGCGCCAGGAGGTGGGGGTCATCCTCGTGCTGCTTGCTTCCCGTGCCCCTCACCTTCTTCCCCAACCCGCCAGGCTCCTGGACGGGAGCCGGCACGTCCTCGTTGCGGGGAGCTGTCCTTCCAGGCCTCTGGCGCTGCTCGACTACTCGTCGGAGGCGCCGCACGGCGACTGCTCGCGGGAGGTGCCTGGGGCGGCCAGTGACTCTTGCCAGGGGCGCCTGCGTGCTTCGCGTTCTTTTTCTTCCCCATTCGTCAACGCGCAGCACAGGCTGCCGGTAGCAGGCGGCGGCGGCGGCGCGAGCACAACCTCGGCAGGCCCTGTGTCGATGTTCTTTACCCCCCCATGCGAGCTCTAGCCCCCGGGCACGGCATACACATAAATTGTCGGAGGTCCGCGGGGATTTCTTCGATCGGCACTGGCCCCCCCTGGCGGCGCTCTGCGCGCCAGGGAGGATGGCCCAGCGCCGATCCAAGAAGTCCGCGCGGAGCTCGCAAAGTTCATGTTTAAGCACCGTACATCGACAAAGTGTTGCACCACATTTGCTGGGCATTGGCACCTGTACTGCATTGCTCTTGCCCCCCCCTTTCCCCTCGATCTTAATATTGGGTGCATGGCGAAGAGCCCCTGTTCCGCCCAGGGGATCCCGACAAAATGTTGCACCACCGAGCTGTTTCGACCAGCCCGGGTCCGAACCCAATATTAAGATCGGGGGGGGGGGGAACACACGATTGATACGACAGCGATGCGATTAATTGTCAGCGCCAGGTGGTGCAACATTTTGTCGATGTACCGTATGCCGGTCAGATGCTGCTGCCACTGTGTCGAATCGCACGGCTCTCTGCTGTTGCTCAGTCTCGTTCGCCTCCTGCTCGGTGGGGTCCAGCCCAGACCCAAGAAATCCCCCCGTCCGAGGCGGGGATTCACGCAGAACCACCGCCCTGATGATCAGTTTTTGGAGACCTCGGCAGGCGGTGGAGATGGATCATATGCTCAGGGGCCTGGGGGCCCAACGATGCCCATATCCACCGCCCGCTTCTGTCCGCAGGCAGCGGATGTGGATAGATCCCCGCCTCGCAGCCCGTGCTCATGCCGTGCTTAGGCCGTGTTCTGCTCCTCCAGTGCCGGCGGGCGCACATGGTGGCGAGCGCGCTCGGGACGCTCGGGGCTCTTGCCGCCCCTCGTCCTTACCTTTGCCGTCCCGTCCTCCCCCCTTCCCCCCCCACTCCCTCCGCCAGGGGGGTCGGCTCCAGAGGGGGGTCGGCTCCAGACGAGGAGGAGGAGGAGGAGGAGGAGGAGGAGGAGGAGACCGAGGGCGAGGAGGAGGAGGAGGACGAGGATGATGAGGAGCAGGGTGTTTGGTACGAGGACAGCGGTGAGGAGGAGACGCCAGGCTTCGGCATTCCAGCACGACCCGGCGCGATGCCCAATAATCAGGGGACGATGTCGTTGTAAACCTAACGCGCTCTTAGGAGTATCGTGGTCGCCACCTCCATGCAGCCTCATGCATGTGTGCCGTCCTACTCGTCATTAGAGTTGACGCCCAGGCAGGCAAGTCATGACAATGCCACGTTGCCGTGCGAAGTGCGGTGATTCATCACATAAGTGATTGCGCCATGCAGTAAGAGTTGCCAGCATTACCTGAAGTAGTTTGTCGCATGAACACTTGTTCTGTGACGGTGGAAAGCCCTGCGGCTCGTGAACGGCAACCCCCTTTATGTCGTAGCGCAACGACAC